TGCCAGTGAGTCAGAACTAACTCATAGCTAACACTTCAGCAGCTTTTCCAAGGCTGAAAAGAGATTGCCAGACAGAGAGTTTAAATTTAAATATTTAAATAAGTGAATTTTTTTTTAAAAGTGAAAGTACAGAGGGTACTCCTTAGAGACAAATATGGTTAAACTTTTCCTCTATACATTAAGCATGTTATCAGAAGAGGTCAGTCCTTGGAAAAAGACATCATGCTGGGAAAGGTGGAGGGTGAGAAGAAGAGGAAGACTCCCAACAACTCTTGACTGACACAGTGACTGTAACAATAGGTTTGAGCATGGCCAGGATCATGCAAGGTAGGGCAAGGCTCAGACCTGTTGCTCCTAGGCCTGCTATAAGTTGTAGTCGATTAGATGGCACCTAATAAGAACAGCATACAATGATGCCTCAACTACAGAAGCATAGTATAAGCCATCACAACAATTGAACAAAGAAAAAGAACTACATGAGCATCTCAATTGATGCAGAAAACACATTTGACAAAATTTAACATCCTTTCCTGACCAAAAATGCTCAAATAAATAGGAACAGAGGGAGAATTCCACAGCATAAGTAAATGCTTATTTACAAAACCAACAGCCAACATTACTTTCAACAGAGGCTGACTGAAGGACTGAAGGCAAATGGGAACCAGACAAAGTTGCTTTTTATCAGCACTTTTATTCAAAATTGTATTTGAAGTGCTAGCCAAAGCAATAAGCAAACAAACAAAGAAATAAAAGACATCAAATTGGTAAAAAGAAAATAAAACTATCTCTGTTTTCAGATTATATAAGCCTACATATAAAAAATTCCAAAGATTCAGCAAGAAATTTACCTGCTCTAATAAATTTACTAAGCAAAGTAGCAGAGTTAAAGATCAACAAACAAAAATCAGTTTAATTTCTCTATAGTAACGAAGAGAACTTTGAGCAACCACTATGGTAGGCGGTATGGAGCTTTCTCAAAAAGTTGCAAATAGAGATACCATTTGACCCAGCAATTCCACTACTGGAACTATGCCCTAAAGAGACCATAACTGACATCCAAGCAGATATATACATACCCATATTTATCACGGCTTTATTCACAAGAGCAAGGAGTTGGAAACGATTTTAGTGCCCATCAACAAACAAATGGATAGAGAAGCTGTGGTATATTCACACAATGGAATACTACACTGCATTGAAAGACAAGAAACTCATGCAATATTATTCAAAATGGGTGACCTGGGAGACATTATGCCAAGTGAAGCATTTCCATCACAAAAGGATAAATATTGC